GCAAAGGAGGGTTCTGTGCTTTTATAGGTAAAGAATGTTGTACTTATATTCCTGATAATTCAGAAGAAATCCAAGATTTAAGTAAACATATTCCAAAAGAAGCAACTAAATTGCACGAGTCAGATAGTTGGAATTTGAGTTCTTGGTTTAGCTCTATTTTCCGTTCCTTAGGCTCTACCATCATTCATAGTTTGTTGATATTGTTTGTTGTTTTTATTGGAATATATCTACTGTTTATAATAATAGAATGTTGTTTAAGTTGTGCTGCCAAGCAAATGCAGAATAGCCCATTAACCAGAAACAAAGTATATAATTTGTATGTTGAAATTGCAGAAAGTAAAGAGAAAGAAAAACTAGAAGTTGAAAAACTAATGGCTATAAATATCTAACTTGTTGGAAAGAAAAAAAAAGGAGGGGATGTGGTAATGATTTAATCAGGCTCCTAACTACTTGACTAAGAAAACAGACAGAGACCAGAAGTGCTGATACTGCTTATTTCAGTTATGTGTTCTGAGATAAGGAATCCTGCATGCCTTGTTTTATCTTGATATATTACCCTGTGTTTCCCTTTTCTTCAAGTAAACTGTCTGTGTGTCTGTGTGTGATTTACTTCTATTTTGTTTCTCCAAGGTCGTATTTTTTTTCTCTTTCTGTCCTGAGTGTAGGTATGCCTCTAAACTTATAGAGTTTGAGGATTCCTTTGAAACAGACAGGTGGGTGATTCCCCTTGCTGTATGGAATTCTCCCTGTGATCACAGTATAGCCCTAAATAAAGAAAAGCTGGCTTTGTCAGTTCTGATTCAACCACAACGCAAAGTCTGATTTCTTCCACACAGGGCAGTTCCCCATTGGGAGTCTGACAGACTGCTTATATGCAGAACCTTTTTTTAATAACTGAACTTGCACATTTGATTAGAGTTGGCTAGTGAAGTTCAGATGGACATGAATACTTTTCTGAACAGTTAGAACTTGCCTAAGAAATGCATTCCTATTAGAAACAGAAATGTCTTTCAAATGCTTATATAGTGTGCCCACGGAAGGCATTCTATTATTTGCTTAGACATAAGTCCTTCAGCTACAAAGAAACATTGTTTAATTCTCCATTCATCTATCCCCAGCTCATTCTCAAGTAGTGAGAAATTGCTTTAATTAATTTCTAGTCAAATTCAGTCTCTCTCTGAAAGGGGGGAAATGGTTTATGAACAAAAAGCAGTGTGAGCTTTATGTACTTCTGGAATAGGATACATGAGATGAACGGGGGAAATTTTTAAAGAAATAATGGGAAAGTGAGAGGCATAACCCATATTGATATTTTTCCCCAGTGAAAATTGGTTGCTTAATTTTCTTTTTGCCTTTGACGATCTCCCCTGTAATCACTTTGTTTTGATGAAGTTCAAGCAATTTTGGTGTAATACCTACAGAATGACTGAAAAAGTATGTCATTGTGGTAACTGAGTTGTAAGATAGGGGTCACAGGAACAAATAAGAGGATTTGGGCCCTAGGGTATGAGGACTTCTGGTTCTGTCATTTAGCAAAGAGGGGATGGAGATGGAAAATGGTGCTAATGACTGGGTGGTCTAGGATCAGTAAGAGCTGCTGATGGCAGTATTAGGAGAGATAGAGTATATGGTGAACACAGTAATGGATTTCACAAAGTTGGGATGGGGTTATAGGGACCAGTGCTGCAGGGTTGATTGCAGAGGAGCAGCAGTCAGGCATTTAAATGCAAAGGAAGGAAAGAATTCCCCTTCCCATATCCTCCCCATGATCAGAGGCATGTTCTGTCTCTTCCTTTCTCTGTTCCCTCCTCTCCCATTTCCTCTCTCCCTTGCCTGCCACTGCTAGGACCTGCACTGCACTGGGGTGAGGGCAACTTCTGTCCCACTCAAGCTGGACTGTGGGGGACTTTGCTTACCCAGGGCCATGGCAGCAATGGTGGGAAGGCATGTAACATCTCCCTGCACCTGCTCCCAAGCTGGTGGGGGAACCCCAGGAGGAACATGTAGGGAGGGGAAGTGTGAGGGATCACTGCTGTGGCTTTCACAGTCCTGGGCTGATTCCAGCCCTGCACAGCCTCCCTGAAGGTGGAAGAAGCTCCCTTCACCCTTAGGACAGAAAAGAGAATGGCAGGCTGTGGAGGCAAAAATGGGATGGGCACGGAAGGGAAGAGATGGGGAAAGTTCTTACCTTCTTCAAGATTTAGGTCTTTTGCTGATGCTACTGTGGCATGATCAGGAAGTTGAGTGCAGCTGTGTCACCGCACCCCCTCTGAATTTACCCTTGGGTGATTGTACATGTGTGTGGCTACTTGGGTTGCTTGGTGTTCTGGTTTGCATACTGGAGACATATATACCAGCATCCCAGATCTCA